AATGACTGACTCTGTGTTTGTTTCTGTGATTGTCTCTGTCTATGTCTACGTCTCAAACGCTTTCTGTCTGTCTGACTCTCTCTCTCTCTATCCCTCTCCTACCCTACTCTCTGTCTGTCTGTCTGTCTGTCTGTCTGTCTGTCTGTCTGTCTCTGTCTGCATAGGCATTGGTTTGTGATGTGGACATTTGGCTACAAGTATTAGCAAGAGTCCCTAGCCAAAAGTAGGTAACTGCTCTCTCTTTTCTAAGGGTCAGGTGCTGAGCGCGTTGTCTGACAATTTTCTCTCTGTCTGTCTGCCTGTTGTCTGCTTTTCTCTCTGCTTGCCTGACTGTCTGTCTGTCTGTCTGTCTGTCTGTCTGTCTGTCTGTCTGTCTGTCTGTCTGTCTGTCTGTCTGTCTGTCTGTCTGTCTGTCTGTCTGTCTGTCTGTCTGTCTGTCTGTCTGTCTGTCTGACTGATTGACTGACTGATTGACTGACTGACTGACTGACTCTGTCTCTCTATGTGTCTGTTCCTGTGTTTGTCTCTGTCTCTGTCTATGTCTACGACTCAATCGCTGTCTGTCTGTTTGACTCTCTCTCTCTCCCTCTCCTACTCTCTTTTTCTCTCTCTCTGTCTGTCTCTGTCTCTGTCTTTTACTCCCTCTCTCTCCGAATCCTGCTGTCTCTGCGTCTGTTTCTGTCTCTATCTCTGTCACTCTCTTTCTCTCTTTCTCTCTGTGTGTCCGTCTCCGTCAATCTGTCTTTCTCTCTTTCTCTATCTCTCTCTCTCTCTCTCTCATCTCTTTCTCTCTCTCTCTCTCTCTCTCTCTCTCTCTCTCTCTCTCTCTCTCTCTCTCTCTCTCTCTCTCTCCACTTGTCTACCTGTCTGTCCTCCCATCTGTTGCCATCTGCCTGTCTCGATTGTCTTTGTCCTTGTCCTTTTATCCGTCTGTTTATCCACCTCTCTTTGTCTGGCCAAAGAATACAGAATGAGGTTTGGCTTTCAACTGGAGTTTTGAACTGTGCTACCTCCAACAGGGGCATACCTAAAGGGGTCCGGAGGGTGTTTTTTTTACAGACTCCTTTTCATGCACTGCACATGTCCAATATATGCCTGAAGAGCCAGCGGCCCAGTGCTACCTAGGTGCCCCCCCCCCCTCCTTCTCCTCTCTCACCGCTTAGGCGGAGTAATGTTAACGTCAAACACGAATTGTTTCGCCTTATGATAGTATAGCGTGAAGGTCACGCTGCAAGCCAAACACCGTTCCACCTTCTTGGTAAAGCATTTCAACCCACTGTTGTTCTGAGCACTGCATTGACATAGAAAAAACACTTAACTGTGTCTTTGTTTGCATTCTTCCCCTATCTTTCTACAGTTCTATTGACTGCTTGTTGAATGTCACACCAAGCAAGGTTTCCAGATGGCAGGTAAGTAAAGTTCAAGTTGGGAGAATGTAAAATCAATCTGCCTCCCCACATTTAGGCATTCCATCATCGTTCCCATCGGTTTATTCAACTGTCCTTCCGGCCGCCTGTTTGATCATCCCTCCAACGCTCCTGCCCTTCATGCCATCATCCCTTCATCTCATACTATCATGTCCTCACTCACTCCCTCACTTCATCTATCTCTCCAATCATCTAGCTATAAACCCATCCATCCATCCATCCATTCGTCCATCCACCCATCAATCCACCCATCCATCCATCTATCTCTCCAATAATCCAGCTATAAACCCATCCATCCATCCATCCAACCATCCATCCATCCATCCGTCCATCCATCCATCCATCCACCCATCAATCCATCTATCCATCCACCCACCCATCTGTCCACCCATCCACCCATCCGCCCATCCACCCGTCCATCCATCTATCCATTCATCCATCAATCAATCCATTCATCCAGCAATCCATCAATCCATTCATCTATTCATCCACCCATCAATCCATCTATCCATCCACCCATTTCTCCAACTACCCATCCACCCATCCCTCCAACTACCCATCCACCCATCCATCCCTCCATCCACTAGTCCACCCATCTATCCCTCCATCCCTCCATCCATCCCTCCATCCATCCCTCCATCCACTAGTCCGCCCATCTATCCATCCATCCATCTACCACTAGTCCGCCCATCTATCCATCCATCCCTCCATCCATCCCTCCATCCACTAGTCCGCCCATCTATCCATCCATCCCTCCATCCATTCCTCCATCCACTAGTCCGCCCATCCACCCATCCATACCTCCATCCATCCCTCCATCCACTAGTCCGCCCATCTATCCATCCATCCATCCCTCCATCCATCCCTCCATCCACTAGTCCGCCCATATATCCATCCATCCCTCCATCCATCCCTCCATCCACTAGTCCGCCCATCTACCCATCCATCCCTCCATCCATTCCTCCATCCACTAGTCCACCCATCTATCCATCCATCCCTCCATCCATTCATACATCCACTAGTCCACCCATCTATCCATCCATCCATTCATACATCCACTAGTCCACCCATCTATCCATCCATTCATACCTCCACTAGTCCACCCATCTATCCATCCATCCATTCATACATCCACTAGTCCACCCATCTATCCCCCAATCCATTCATACATCCACTAGTCCACCCATCCATCCATCCATTCATACATCCACTAGTCCACCCATCTATCCATCCATCCATTCATACATCCACTAGTCCACCCATCTATCCCCCAATCCATTCATACATCCATGCATTCATCCATCGAGGTACATGGTATACCTCTATCTATGCGTCACTATAGCCAGCTATCTATTCATCCAGCCAGTAATCTACCCAGCCCTGAAGCCAGAGACCTAGCCCTCCAACCATCCAGTCATCTGTCAGTCAGACTTTCCACCCCCTCGCTTGTCCGTAAATACATCCACTACCTGTCGGCAAGCCTGTCAGTCTGCCAATACATTTACTGTAAAACCTGTGACTAACGACCACCCCTTGGTGCCAGAGATAGCGGTCTTTAGTGGCAGGTGGTCCTCAGTTAGAGGTTTGCACCGCACAACCATAATTAATATGAATGTGAGTCCGTCCGTGCCTGGCAAAGTGGTCTGTAGTACCAGGCTGGTCGCTAGTCACGACATTAGGTTGCAAGTGAAGAGCTGAGATGCAGAACCTGATACGGGCAAATCTTGTGAAAATCATATTTTCAGCTTAGTGTCATTACTAGGTCTCAGGGCAGCACCAGGAAAAAATGTCACACTCCAATACTTGCTTACACTAAAACCATTTCAAAAAAGGAGCCCAAGTATGGCTTAGCCCAGGCCCACGGGTACACACCCAGGCCTGCGGGCACACCTCCGCCTACGAACACTTGCAGGCGCTTGAGCGCACACACACACATTCATGTGCACAAACAAAAATGCAGACACTCCCACGCACCTGTTTGTGCTTTCAACTCCGTACCCATGCGCACGCACCACTCACAGCACTATGTCAATATTGAGCGTGTGCCAGGGCTAAATATACCTTGTTGCCCAAAGCACACATGTTACATACAAACCCCACATAAAATGAATTCTTTTTTGGCCACTATTCGAAAAGTGATGAAATAGATCTAGCGGGTTGTCCAGCTCTTCAGGTTCCCATTGCAAATACACTTATGGTGATTTTTGTGCTTGTGAAGCTGACACATTTCTCGTTGATTTTTGGTCTTGTTCTCTGTAGGCAACCCATACAAAACAACGGAGTTTGTCTCCAAAATTCACGTGTGGTTACAAGATGTTGACCCTGTTCGGCTTCGCGGTCTAGTTCAGAAAGAAGGGCTAATCAGCTTTGACCAACTGGAACGTTTGAGGAAGATGAAGGATATTGCTGAACACAATGCAGAATTGATTTCAATACTTTGTCCTGGAGAAACTAAATCCTATCAGGTCTTATGTTCGGTGATCCACCAAATGGGCTACACTGACCGATACTTGGAGATGCTTCGTATTGTGGATAATCCAGTGCAAGGTGATACTTGATGCTGTTTTGATTAGTGTAGTGAACGTTCTGTAAATGATCAGCAGTCTGTGCATGTTACCCTGTGTATGCCTTATACCTGTGTTCTGCACACAATGCAAGCTCTATCAACTAACAGCACAGAAGAAGATTTCCATTGCTGGTCTCTTTAGCCTTGTAGTGTATTTCCGTTCTGGTTAGGTAATGGGTGGCCACCAGATCATTCACAAAGTATAAAAAAGGCTAGGGTTGGCCACACCAATCAAGAAACTGCTTCTGCCAGTCCTGTGGTATCGGATTAGACATTGGTATCGGTGAGTCGTGGCGGTGGCAGTCAACTCTATGACGCTTAGGAATAGAATAATTATTATGATGTCATGATTGTGGGTTTTTCTATTTTCCTTCTTTGAATTTATTTTGTCCCGTGACCAGAATTGCTGTCCTGGGTTGGGCAACCAGAGTCAGCCAACGCCATAGCAACCAGAGCAGACACATCTGTAACCATGCCAACTGAAGACTGCACGACAGCAGCAGCTGCATCAGCAGGATATGCAGCGTATCAATCCACTCCAGGGGCAGCAAGTCCATCGCCACTTGAACAGCAAGTAGCACCACTGTGTCCACCGATGAAAAGCAGAACTGCAGCAGCAAGACCAGGAGCAGAAGGAGAAGCAGCGGGAGCAGCAGCAGCAGCTACAGGGGCAATGGCAGGAGCAGCAGGGGCAATGGCAGGAGCAGCAACAGCAGCAGCAACAGCAGCAGCAGCAGCAGCAGCAGTGGCAATGGCAGGAGGAGCAGAAGCAGACGCAGTAGCTTCGTCAGCAACTGTATTAACCCCTCAAGCGTCACTACAGGCAAGGCTTCCAATTGGAACAGTAACGTTAGAACGTGTGCGTGCAGCAACAGCAGAGTCAGAACTAGGAGCAACAGCCGGAGTATCAGCTGTACCAGCACTTCATCATTGCAATTATCCAGGTGAGTTTTGCTTGCATTATAGTTGACATTCGAAGGGGGCGTGACAGGAAACAACGTAAGGAGCTAAGGGAAGTTGCGGGGATGGTTATGATCGCAAAGGACTACATCGACAATCAACGCTAGGAACAAGAATGCAACCGTATTACCAGACACGGTGTATTATTGACTTCCTCCGCATCATTAAAATTGTCGCTTCGCAGATCGCAATATTTGTGACTTGGCTTGTCTTTGTCAGACTGTCAGGCTCGCTGTTTTCTGTGTTGGAACATTGGTGCGACCCTTCCGGAGCAATATCTACTTGTTACTGAAGCCGTGGTGTTCTCGGACTTTGTCGGAGCTCTCTTTCGCAACAAGCAAATTCATCGTGCTCCGCACTATTCCACCCCAGAGTGCATATCGTTTTTCTAGAGTTTGTGCCGTGCCACATCGTTCGCGTGGGCATTTATCAAGACTGCAAGCTTGGGCATAAGAATCCTGGTATCTCTACTACGAAATGCTGAAGTTGACGATGGCAAGAACAAAATGTTCTCGAATTCCTAAAATGCGCTATCTGTGGCGCATGTTGATGCGAAGGTAGCAGGTCTGAAAACACCAACAAAATCAGCGAAGCGTTTGCCAAGGTAACAAGGTACGGAACTACATACCCTATCCCGCTGGAAGGTCGTTACAGTGTACTTGAAAAATGCTAGCTTGCCTTCATTGCCTGCCACCTGGAGGCATGGAAGTAACAGTTCCTGAGATAAATCACTCGTAAGTTGAGCCGCGATCGCGGCAATTTCAAAAGCGCGCAGTGCGACTTTAGTATTGAGAATTTTGAGACTTTTCGTCACGCTGGTTTACTCGAATTTGCATGGGTTTCACTGTTGATATTGTCAAGAGTACACAGCGAAAAAATAGGAACTCCACGATCGAGTAAAATGAAATATCTGGAGTGGGACGCAATTGGACGCATTTGGGGCATTTTTCGTACTGTCGCTGCGATCTAGCGCTGGATAGACGGTGTGCTGGCTATCATGATCGACCTCATTCTCTTCCTCTCGCGGAGACCTTTCTAGCAAGCCCTAGATTATGAGGATTGAGTGAGTAGAACTGAAGCTATGATCCAAGGAACACGGAAAAATGCAGAATTTTGAAATTTTCCTGTGGCTCTTAAAGGGTTAATATGAACTAACAATTTCACTGTTGGACTCGCTGGTGGCTAGAGAGCGAAGGATTAATTTATAGCAAAGAAAAGGACCAGGGAAGTACAAGTTACGCTATAATGTCCGCAAACAATTTCACTGTATTTGAAATAATTTTGTTTGATACCCTGAGAACTCTGAAACTTTGCAGCACTGTGGATTATATGTGGATACAACATTTATGGAAGGAAAGTGGAATAATTTCGAACACATTGTTCAAATAATTATAGCACTGAATTGTTGAGATTATGAGCACATTCCAATCAGCACTCTACATATTTATAAGAGGTGGCAATCGTTAGGAATAGGTCGGGAGTGCTCTAGTATTATGAGAGAACGTTTTGTTTGTCTAATCGACGGCTCGTTTGAAGCCAGAGTTGTTTGAACTTGTTTCAGTCGACTTGATTCTAGACAGTAGTCGAAGGAGTACTATGAAGTACACACCAGACGTAGTCCGTAAGGTATCTCGTGAGAATTCTGTCGGTACACATCAGGTATCAGCTTGCAAAGATGGCTCCTCTCTGTTTCTTGAAAGCCTGTATAGTTGGACTGTGGCTCCAGCGATTCCCTTCTCAGAGCAGATACCATACCCAATACGGTCAATGCATATTGGACAGACCTGTGTGCACAACAGAAATAGTGGAGAGAAATCTCTCAGCTCTGCTCATGAACACATCAGTGAAGTTTGAACTGCCGTTGTTTGTGGCCATCAGTATAAACCTATCGACTATAAGAATAATGTGCAAAGAAACCTCTATAACTACAGCTAGGGCCATGGAATTATAAAGCATCTAACTTAGGGAACTGCCAATTCTGGTCTGAGTTGCGTTCGAGGCCTGTAATTCATGATGGCTATCGTATGTTGCATTGACCAGAGATCATATAAACCTTCCAAATGCCACATTGAAACACGCACCACTTTCGAGTACTTTGGTATCCCCCACCAAATGGGCATTCGTTCCCGGGGTCACCATTCGTTATGCCTGGATCAGATTTCATTGACCCCAACTGTCATGAATAATCATTTTTACTTTGACTGGATTTCAGTACAAGTTGTAGAACTGCAGAATCAATTTTGTTGTATTTGGGTAACCATTTCTCTACAAACGCTCTATTTGGAAAATAGAATTTTTTTATAAAATGCATATCCAAATTCCACATGTACCCAAATCGGAATACTTGATCACGTATTCAGTACTACACGGAATGTTTAGAAAACGCCAGGGAATAGGAATTTGCTAACGATAACTCCAGGCCAGGGTACTAGCATACGAACAAAACAAGATAAAAACTCACCAGTATACTTGTAATTGTAGTAATTCATGTCGGTGTAATATTCACGATAAGCAACGAGGCACCCTCCGATTTGGTCAAGCTGCTTTGAAGTCTGGTTGTTCAGGTGGTACAAACGGGCTCCCCGTTGTTACTTCCAGCAGCTTCACTCTCCCCGCGACAGCGGCTATCAGCCTCTCTCTCCATTGTCGACAATTATCACAGATTCAACATTCTACATTTATCAGCACTGCACTGGGTGAATATGTCTCGAGACGAATTTAGCGGATCAACAACGCTTTGCTGGAGATAAATTCTCCTCTGGAGGACCTTCAGGATACCTGGAAGGGTATAGAAGACGGGATCGCTCACGACGTTGAGAGAACATAGAAAACAACCTCCTCTTCGATTGAAAATTGGCCAAAAAGTGTGTGAAATGTATGTGCGCAGGTGCATTTCCACTGGCAAGCTAATCCCTCATTACGTCATCAGCGCTCGCTCGGCGAAATTCAAAAGTCGTCTTCCTGCTCGACTCGATCGCTTCTGGAGACTCGTTCTTGTTCGAGGGGTCTTCTCTTTCACCAACCTTCGTCTTGGCATCGAAAACTCGGCGTCGAAAATGAAGCCGGAGTGCCCCTTTAACAAAAACTTCGTGATGGATTTTGATGGATATGAAAACGCTTAGAACATGTCAAAAACAGTTTGTATCGACTGCAAATCACTGGACGAAGGTGATTCAGCCTATGTACAGCGTCTTTACAAGAGAAACTGTTGGCGGAATGAGCAGAGAGTTCAGTTTGCGTCGCTTTCGCTCGATTCATTTTTGACCTGCGTCGCTGTCGTCATCTGCTGCACGCGAGTCGTCATCTGCTGTACCCGAGTCGTCATCTCTCTCGTGTCGTTGTTCAGCTCGTTTCAGCCATGTCTCGACTTCTTTGATTACACTCCGCTGACCTTCATGTCGCCGTCGTTCAAGTAAGTTGGCTTTCAAGCTGCGTGATCCGCCGCGATGGCGATTACTCGTTTCCACCAGGGAGTCGTGAAAAATATTTTACGACTCCCTGGTTTCATCTTCGCTCTCCAGAACTTCGCGAAACGAGGGGTAAAGGCACAGCCAAACTGATTCCATTTTCGCTAATGGATACCAGCACTGAACGGCAGCGGCTAGCAAGTCCAGTCGACTTTCTTTAGCCACGAGACTCGCATTAGACTGCAGACTTCTGAAAGAATGCATGGTCATCAGCATTCGAATCTGGGCTTTGCGCAGGTTAAACAAGAATTTGAGTTCAGAATAATTTTCATTGAGCCGTGCGATCGGAGCAGCTCCTTGTTCACTCGCTCATTGTGTGAGCTTGCTGCTCCGTTTTATCGCTCTCTATCACTCTCCAACTTACTCAGTGCTAAAGTGGTAGAGAGGCCAAGCAGCGCAATATCCCCTCGGAGAAGTGGTATTTCAGTTTCGCTCGCCATGACTCTCAACACCTATGTTTCCACAGCGCAACCATCGATTCCGCTCAGCTTGTTGTGAAAGGTCGCTTTCCTTGCATCGTGCCTCTGTCGTGGCATGCCAGGGAAGGCCAAGAAAGTGATTGCGACTCATTTCACGGCAGTTTGTGCCCAACTCAGCCCCTCAAAGTTCCATCACAATGTTTTTGTTAACGGAGGAAGTACATGTACCCTAATCAATCTGCGGACAGAACTGTTTCGTCCTTTGTGGACTCATCATTGCAGCACAGAGAAAATAAGGCCGAACCTGATAGCAATGAATTTTTTTTCAAAGCCAGATTTAAACCAGGTCCGAACGTACCTTGCCAGAGTGCTGAAACTGCCAAGTCAGTGAGCTCTGCATAACGCAAACAGCAAAGGAACTTATCACTCCCGTCTCACGTGACCGCAGACTCCTGCATATACAATCATACAACTGTTTAGGGATAGGGTGCTTCTTGTATTATGCCAAACTTGACACGCTGAGTCCAGCTTGACTCAGCTGAGTCCCTAACTGCTATTTGCCGCTCTAACATGAAGTCGTGCCTGGAAGAAGGGAAAGAGCGAAAAAGAAAAGGGAAAAATTCTGACCTTCTGCAAGCAATAACAAGTAATGAGTGCCGGCTGTGTAAAGTCACGCCACCAAGTCGACCAGACGATGGTGAGTTTCCAGCACACATCTTGCCCTGCTGCTCCACCTGTGCATATCTGACACAGTGGTGCGCTTACGGGCTACCTGGGCCCCAGAAGCCTCCCTGATGCGCCACGGGGTGCAGTGGAAGCACCTGTATCACTTCAGTGATCCAAATGCGAATGCACCCTTGACGGTCGCCGGCCGGCCTGCCGCCTACGCGACCAGCCTGAGACTGGCCCTGCCGCATTTGGTGCTTCTAAACGCTGCGATCCGGTAGACAGCTCACTGGGCTGCCAAATACGTGACTGGCTTGAGGACAGTTCCATACTGCATGGCAGGGCACCCAGCAGCCCGGCAGCGGCGTGAGCTGGGCGCGGTGAGGGTTGGTGATAACTACAGTTTCCTCCTTCCTCCTCCGGAAACTTCCA